ATCTAACAAGACTGCTCGAGAATCCTCCTATCCAGAATGACCAGTACTGCCCTCGATATCTATACGTGTCCGGTGAAAGTGAAATTACGCGCACGTGCCGACGCGAGCCGACGCGGGGAAACCGTTGCCAAGCCCCCCAAAAAGTTTCGACACCACAGCTAGTCAACGATGTTAGAGCAACGCGTCAACACCACCTCACTGCATTGTATTACAATGTCAGACAATTCAAAGAAGCGAAAGAAAGACTCAGATGATGCGCCGATTCCTAAACGCCCACGGTTCCTCGGTAGACCGCCGCACAAGATCGCAGCACCGTCCACCACCACCGCGTATCCAAATGGCGAACTCAACGTGTCCCACTTCTTGCGTGCACACGAATACGAGATCAGAGCTCTGGAGAGCGCGATGAAAGTTGCGAAGAAGGGATTGACGCGACGCGCATTTCAAGATGTTCCGCGGGACCTGCGACGGAGGACTGGGAGTCACAACCCGCAGCGAGTCCCAAAGAGACTGCGTCTGCAGGCTAGGAAGGAGGCAAAGGAGGACAATACTCCAATCTCAAAAAATAAGAGCGGTAGTGGTATCGGTAAAGGCAAGAAGAAATGGCTCCGGATTCAAGGTCTCGAGAACAAAAAGAAGGCCAGGCGGAAGAAGAAGGTTGAAGAGCCCAATAAGGTCACGATCACAAACGAGCCAGTAGGCGACAAGCATGTCGTCGAGAAAGATTCCCGCAAGCCTACTAAAGTGGCGTCAAAGCACGCAGAGGCTAGGACGAAGCGCAAGAAGACAGTGAAACTAGCATCCCCCTCTATGCTGCCATCCCGATTCCGCCGGCGACAATTACATAAGACCTGGCTCCCTACCCACGTGTGGCACGCTAAGCGTGCTACCATGACCCCTCCCAAAGAACCACTTTGGCGGTTCAGCATACCACTCAGCCCTATAGTCAAGGGGTACCGGTTAACCCACCGAGCAGCCTCGCTCCGAGGTGCTGTAGCTTGGGATACGAGCTATGTAGCTACCATGGGACTAGAAGGAGTCGAGGCTAGCGTCATTGGTCTGCTTAAAGCATTACACTTCACAGAAGAAGTGGGCGAAGACTGTTGGCAAGAGACTAGAAGGGGAAGGAAATGGTTAGCTGGTGTCCGAGCAAGGGAAGGTTGGGTGTATGAGCGAGACAGCAAACCTTTGAAGAAGATTGCCCCTATCACTGTCATATGGAGGGCTGACCAAGACGTGACGAGCAATAGAAAGAAAGCCATGATGCGAGTACACCCGACCGCATTTTTCCAGTTGTGGAACGAGGTCATCCGGGCTTCTCGGGTACAGAAGCCAAGTGTCACAGTGGAAGACCTACGATTCGAGATCGGCTCTATCGAAGCTACGGGACCTGCAGCCGCAGAAACACTGCGTTCCATTCTCACCCCCAGCTCTTCGCTGGAGCCGCCGGCGGATGCTCCGCAGTCAGTCTGGTCAATGTTGGCCCCCGTCACAGATGTTGGCGTCTTACCAGCTGATGCGCTCTTAATTTTCACAATCTCGGACCCTCGTTTACGCGATCCGTCGAAGACAGCATGCATATCACAAGACCCGGATTCTCAAGTACAATTATCTCAAGCCCTGGCGGACTGGCCGATTGACAAGACACCGGTTGCTTCGCAGATCTTCGACCGTAATGCTAGACTAGCTGCAAGCCGGACTCTGCCCTCCCAGAAATCTATCAATCGTCGCAAGTCAGCAGCTTCCCCAGGACAGCATCCGGAAGCTAGGACGACAGATCCCCATATCCCGGTCCTCATCCACGTCTCAAGAGCACAGAACCGGTGGACTGTGCTATTGCCGTGGAAATGCGTCCTTCCAGTTTGGCAGTGCATGATGCGCTATCCGGTTTCCACGGGGGGAAATCCAAGATTTGGTGGTCTCAAAGAGACTCGGCAGGTGAGCTACGAGCGCTCGATGCCTTCGTTCCCGTTTGACTTCCCCGGAACAGACGCGGGCTGGACGTGGGAGGTGCAGCAGCGTGAAGTGAGACAGAAGGAATGGACCAAGAAACCGAAAGGCAAGCGGATCGAATGGACCTCCATTGATCTAGGCAACGGCAGGAAGGGCGAAGTTGGGGATCCATGGGCTTGTGATTGGACCGAACTCCTGGGGAAGGCGGAGAGAGAAGCAGGAAGCAAGACGTTAGCCCCATCTGCCCCATACCGTCAACTCCACCCCAACCAAGCTGCTCGACTGATCGCTGGTTTGTTACCTTCTACTGGATATTCTAATGTCCCGCACCTCTTTACTGTCAAGATCAACATGGTGCAGCATGGAGTACCGACAGAATGCGCGCGTATCTATCGCCTATCAACGACCAATGCGGAGCTTCGAACCAAGTGGCTTTCCCTCATGCCTAGCAGCAGCCAAGTTCGCACTCCGAAAGGTCCTGCCAAAAAAGACCCCAACCCTAACCCTAACTCTAAGTCCGAAGCGCTCACAAAGCACCTTCGTGCGCGAACGCTCGCTGCAGGCCTTCTCGAACCAAAAGCATCTGCGAATGGGCCCCTTAAAGCCGGCAGTGAAGATTACCCTGTAGTACCCGACCAAGAGGATTTGATCGGCTTTGTAACGACGGGTAATTATAATCTTGCAGAGGGTATGCCTTCTGCTATAGCGAACATAGCGCTACACAAGGTTCTAGAGGTCAGTGGTACAGAGGCAGTGAATAAAGATCGGCACGTGTGCATTGTTCGCGAAGCTGGACGGACGTTTGGCAGGTTGGCCACGTGGCAAGTAGTTTGAGGTGTTTGCATATAGCGAAAACATGTTCAAGTTATGAAAGCCCATGCTCCAGCTCGAGCAAAATTATAGATACTGACCAGATCTTTCCAGTCGTGCGGTGAATTCTCCAGGGCAGGCCAAGAGTGAAAGCGGCTGATCGGCATCAGCCCTGTGGCGCGGCGTGGCGCACGGCTAAATAATTAATCGAACTGAAGCCCGAAGTCCCTAACCACTTTAATCCAACTTTGGAACGTCTCAGGGCCCAGCGAGAGCTCCGCATGCGAGCATTCTAGGACACACCACGACGGCCGCTCAGCATGTCTGAGGACCGGGCAGCCGACGGGCAGGCGAACGGCGTCGTCCACACGGAGGCGCTGCTCCCCGGGGCGCTGGCAGAACTGGTACGGTCTCTCACAGTCTCCGCCGAGCCTCAAGCCGCCGTGCAATGCTAAACAAGAGACGACGTGCAGATCCAGGACACGCTCGAGGATGTGCTGCACACGGCCATCCGCAACACGGTGCTGTCATGCCACCGCTCCGAGAAGCTGCTCCGCATGCAGTCCGCCGCGACACAGGCCGAGTCCCTCGCTCTCTCCAACATCGAGCCGCAGTCGCAGACCAAGGCGAATGGCGCCACCGCAGTCCCTACCGCCGATACCACCGCCGCCAAGTACGAGAACGGCCGCGTCTTCCTCAAAGGAAACCCACTCCAAACGACGCCCGAGATTGTGTGTCCGCACTGCAAGCTGCCACGGCTGATGTACCCCATCATGGGCAAGGGCATGCAGAAGCCCGATCTGACGCGAGAGTACTGCAAGAAGTACCCGTTCGTGCAAGAAAAGGGCCACGACGTCTACGGCAATCCATTCCCGACCGACATGGCTAAGAGCAAGAAGGAGAGAGAGCTGATCAAGCAGCAGCAGAAGAACGCTGACAAAGAGAGCGTGGGCACGCCAGGCTCACAGGACACAGATATGCCCGGTGGCGAATCGCAAGGCAAGGAGATCAAGCTCAACACGGGCGGGAAGCCGGCCTCATACATCCCGTGGCACACATGTCCGAGGAGCGCCTGCAAGCGGAGTATCCTGATAACGCGGTTTGCACATCATTTGGAGAAGTGTCTGGGCATCAGTGGTCGACAGAGCTCGCGGAACGCCATGGCAAAACTTGCTGGACAAGAAGGCAACGGGACCGGCATGGGCAACACTCCGCTGGGAAGCCGCATGGGCACCCCCGCCCCTGGCTCGCAAGGTGACAGTATCAGTATCAGTAAAGTCAAGGGCAAAGGCGTCAGCCCAGTCAAGAAGCTCGGCGACGATGACGAGGAAGGCGAAAACGACACGCCCGAGAGAAAGAAGAAGAAGAAGAGCTCGTACGTCAAGAAGGCTGACCGAGAGAAGATGGCCAAAGAAGGCGGCACGACGTTGAAGGTCAAGCTGAAAGCGAACAGCGCGAGTCGAGAAAGCCTAAAGGACTCGGACCGCAAGATGCGCGAGGGCTCGGAAAAGCCTGAAAAGCGGGAACGGGACGAAGACAGTGCGGTCGTCGACGGCGCACCAAAAGCGAAGAAGATCAAGCTGTCTCTTGGAAAAGGTGACTCGGGTTCTGTTCCACCTCGGGAGGACTCTAGAGCGAGTCAAGAGGCAGTCTGAAGATTCAAGTGACGTATTTTCTCTCATGGGATCGAGGCTACTATGGGTAGGATCGCGGATTGCATTCGATAATCAGCATTGCCAGGCGTATGGGCGTTCTGCCAAAGGCAGCATCATGGGTCACTCATAAGGGGTTTACGGGGGGCGGTATCGCGTCTATATTGACGCCGGGGCGTTATCATTTTCTAGGGACGGTATCATGGCTTTCCCCCCATTTTCTTTTAGTACGACATACCACCGTCAGAATATTGAGGGAAAAGTAGAGCATCCTCTGTACTAAGACATCTGTTCATGCAAGCCCTGTGCTGAACAAGTGAAGTGCCACGTGCCTGTGCCTGTCCGTGTATATATCTAGTGTATGTGTATGGTCGGTGCCCTAGTCACCGTCACTCGCTCGCTAAAAGAAGGGTTTTTTTGTCGGGCCCACAGAAGAGTAGTAGTTATTACACACCGCTACTCCCACCACCCAAACATTCCACTCACACATCACATCTCCTCATCGTTCTCCCCTGTCTATCCTTCCTTCACCCCTAGGATTATGACACAGCTTTGCAGATAAAGTCCTTCATCAACCAATCATATGGCTCGGTGGTGTAGTTGGTTATCACGTCAGTCTAACACTCGTTGGTTGTGCACTGAAGGTCCCGAGTTCAAGCCTCGGCTGAGTCAATCCTACTGTCTGGCTACGGGCAGGTGGCAGGTGCTTGGTGAGAAAGGTGAAGGTGAAGGTGTGTGTCTTTCGGCGTTGTGGCGGAGTGGTTATCGCGCAAGACTAGAAATCTTGTTCCTTTGGGAGCGTCAGTTCGAATCTGGCCAACGTCGTTTTCTTCTTTTTTGGTGGGGGTGAGAGGGGTGGTGGATGGGGGTAGAGAAGGGATGGGAGGTGGATGCATGCATGGGGAGGGAGGCGGATGGATGCCTGGCTGGAGAGGAAGAGGGATTGACTGGGCAGGTGCAAGTATATGTCTCCACTCTATAAGATACGGGATGAAGTCGTTTCTTTTTGTGTATTATAGCTTGCTTTTCTAGCTTGGCTTGAGCTTTGTTGGACATGTTCTGAGTGAATGGCCAGGTAGGATAAGATATTCATTCTTACAGATTCGCTTGGGTGATTGCTAGAAGCACTTGCTTTATTTTCAAGAATATGAGAAAGCTCTTTGACTGATCCCAAGCAATCTCATCGAAGCTTGCTTACACGCACCTGACCTATCTATTAGCACGACTGCGACAAATGTTTGCCAACTTTCAACTTCTGGGGTTATAAGACGTCCACGGGATAGGTATTACGCTCTACAAGCTCTAGAGTTCACCATACCTGTCCGGTTCGTCACATCCAAGGTCAACAGCAGACATGCTCGGCTTCGGCCTGTATCTGGACCAGTACACTGGCAATCCTCCTGTACTAGCCAAAGAGACACTACTAGCCAGTTTCGAGTCCTCCAGCACACCTAGAGGCACCATCTTCGCTATACTGACCGCAAGCATCGAAGCGATGAACCCAACATGGATCGCGAATATGGCTTCAAATGAAGAAGGTTTGAGATGTATAGTCTTCACGCTCGATGGTGTCCGTAAGGCGCGGCTGATCGTGCAGGCGGAAGTTGAGCGACCAGGGCTTCGAGTGCACCCGCGACTTTAGTATGAGGGACGAGACAATGGACAGACATGCTTTCACTGGTGGAACGAGTAATGGGATGAAGCGCGTAACTCAACCACTGCAAGAAGAGTCGGGAAGGGTCAAAAAGAAGCGTGAGAAGGTAGAGGTGGAAAGGAAGGGAGCGATAGGGAGGCATGTGCTAGAGATCCAGAACTGTAAGCTGCTGACTATGTTTGACGGACTTCTCGTACACCTTTTGTTGGTTGATGTTGGAAGCAGCCATCGGGTTACCCGACTGTTAGTAAGCCGCCGCCGCCAAGGCGGCCTATATAGTCATCCTTCCTCCATAGATCAATCAACAACTGTTACACTACATTTGTTCAGTTGATACTATGCTTAAGGATGGTACAAGCTTTCAAGGCTGCAGGAACTGGACTCGTTCTATAACGGGGATCCACGCTGGTCCTATCCACCGGAAACGTTTGCCACTTTTTGTATCGTTCGAAACCTCGCAGTCTAAGGTGAAATTTAACAATGCCCGAAAAGAGAAAGAGCAATAGAATGCCTACCATGTTCGTTATTGTTACGTTATTACATTTCGCTGCAGAAAGGGAAATACGAACAAAGTGCCACTTCACCTCCGAGCGTAGCTTGGCGTAGTCCCTACTGCGGATACTCCACTTCACTAATTCTCTTAGACGATACTTCTAGCGGCATTTTCCATCAGCAGCATCAGGCGTGCCCATCGAACACGGGATACCGAACACGGGGATACGAGAAAATATCAAGGGAAACTCTTGTCAAAAGTCGACGTGACATCGCAAGTGGGCTCAGGAGGAGGTGCTGATGCTGATCCTGCTAATTATAGCTCACTCACCTTGCCCCGTTTGGGATCGACGCGCCGAGATCCAGGAACACTACTGTGTAGGAACACCGTTTTGTCGGATGATTCAACCCTCGTAAAGACGCAGGACCTTATGGCGAAGCCTGTTGACGTGTATAAATATTGGCTATGGAATGAGGGTAAAGACTCACAGCTTCAGCTACCACCCCAGCTCTACCAGACAGCATCCGATCGTCCCACCACAGTCGTTATAGAACAAAAGCCCGCACAACTCTCTGTATATATACTCAACCAACCTTTACAGGCGCATCTCTCGAATACCGTCATGATGCATTTCACCACCGCCACCATCGCCACCGTCGCTTTCACGGCCTTTGCCATAGCATCCCCGGTCGAGCTTGCGCCTCGCCAAAACGCAACTCTGGAGCCATGGCAACTGTCTGGAATCAGCGGATTCTCCCCAAGCGGCCGTCCAGGCAGCTACCCTTGGTTGAACATCGTCGCCAACTTGGTCGACCCTAACGAGCTCACCTTGGGTACGTCCACGGATGACGGTTCAGAGGTCACCGTACCCGCAGGTAATGCGGGCGCCAACTGCACGGCCAAATGGTACACTGGCACCAAGCCGTTTAACCACATATGGCCTTGCGACCCCACTGGTGATGGTTACTGGTACATGGAGATTGAGGAGACCTCTGACTTCTCCACCGCCAACTTTGACGTCAAGTTCACCCGGGTCGCCGATGTTATCTATCATGGAAGCGAGTTCAAGAAGACATATACGGGCTCTGCACACTTTGAGGTCGGCGATAACATGAGCGGCACCTGCGGTGGCTCTGGTGTCTGCAGCTGGGGATTGAAGGCTGAGCTGTCGCCCTACGCCATCCAGCAGACGGAAGTCCCTGCTGCCTAGGGAAACTATTAGCGTTGTCACGGGAAGGTGGGGTTGGGGGGGATGGGGGTGAGGTAGGAGATGGAAGAGGAGGAGGGAGAGCAGAAAGAAGAACTAAAGCGAGAACTTAGTGTAGTCGGCTAATTCATCTCTGGACCGGTTTGCTGGTGCCGCTTTCGATATAATACTAGAAAAGAGGCATATGTTAATGTAAATAATTCCATCTTTACCTTCTCTTTCATGCATCCTCACCATACTTCTACGCACACTGATAGATGCCTGACCTACAATGGCGAGCTTGTTGAAGCACCAGAATGTACGAGATACACACTTTCGAAGCCTCTCAGCATGCTAACAATACTGAGATCACCTCTGGGGAGCAGCTGAAGCTCGAGAGCCACCGAAAACAGGTGGATGACAGAACTATGACCAGACTAGCCCCCTCGAGCTAGCGCCATTTCTGACAAAGCAACCTCGACCCGGCTGCCCAGGTGGACCACACCAATTTTCAGTCTTCTCAACGATATCTCAGCAACAAGCGATGGTTCATCAAGAGAATCGCAAACGCTGTTGGACGTGTAAAGGCACGTAAGGGACCCAACATCGAAAGTGGGAAGCTGACGTTGTTTCCAGAGCGCAAGATTGCGTGCTCAAAACAAAGCCCATCTTGTCGTCAATGTCGAATCTCCGGTCGCATATGTCTAGGCTACGGGATGAGGTAACAATGCTTCACTTTAAGGTGTTCGAGCCATGAACGTTGGGAATGCTACCCGGGCCGCAACCAACAAAACATGTTAAAGTGCACTATTGTACTTGAATTTAACCAGAAAATCGTACTGACCTGTACTGCAATATGCATAGACTCTCATGGCCGCGTCAAAACGATCGTAAAAGAGCCATCGTGCTCGATACCCAAGGCCACACCCAAAAGACTCTAGGGTCTCAATATGATCTCGTAAATGTTTACGCTTCAGATGTCGAGATATCTCGAAGACACCTCAATTCAGGTAGCACGTAACGTCTACATTTGAATCGCATACTGATATCTGCAGTCGGTCAACGGCAAATTGAGCGACACCCAACAGCGTACGATATCTCGCCTGCACCCATACGCAACCCTGTTTGGGCGCCTTATGCCACACAGGCTGACCTTCTATCCTACTGTAAGAGAGTTCATCCTATTGTTCCACTGCTACTGAGTTTTCAAGATCAGAATAACGCAACCCGACCACTAACCTTCGCAAACCAATCGCAAATTCAACATGCTATTCTTCGAATCGCCTTCACAGATCAGTCAACTGCCTCTTCCGCTATACTTTATGCAATCTACGCCTTTTCAAGCTTATGTCTCTCATACCCTGCTCAAGCCTTGCAATACAAGGCGAGGGCGATCCGCGCAATTCAATTATCTACAACTCAGGCTCGCGCCACAAAGGATGCGCTTCAGTGCATAGTTGCGGCGAACTTGCTCACCTTGTTCGAGGTAAGTTTGTCGCCTTCCTTTCCACTGTAAAGTTTTTGTTGATCTGATGTCGTAGGCGATCGTGAATTTCAGCACATCAACCGATTGGGCAACGAGTATCTGCTTCGCCAAACGGACAGCTATTTCCACGTTCTTGACAGATCGGTCTTATCGAGGCGATTTAGCTCTGATAATCGACTGGGTACATTATCACGACGTGCTTTCCAAATTTGCGGTATGTTAAATCTCCTCTATAAGAAATGAATGCGTACCCTCGGTGGCCGCGCACAAACGTCTACAAGTAACACGTCGTCATTCCCTACCCAGATCTTTGACTGACTCTTGCGGCAATCTGCAGGTTCAATATTATGAGCGCCGCGTCGAGGGATCGCTTGAATGTGCAATGAAGAAAGAATTAAGTTCCATATTCATGAACGTTCCGGAGAAGTCCATTGTCAGTTCTTAGAACCAAGTTAATTAGGACAAAATAGCTGACTTGTTGCCAGATTGTGCCTACTTCAGGATGTTCGCGCGAGGTGCTGAGCGCTATATCCGAGATCATGAGCGTAGCTATGGACACAGAAATGAGCGTAAATCTTCGCGAAGAGGCGCTTGACAAGTTGGAGCGAAGGCTGAAGTACGCGCAACAAGATATTCGCTTCGAGACCCTCGACGACGCCGAGGATTCGAATAGCGTGCGAAACACCAAGTCAATTGCCGAGCTGTACCGGCTCTCTGGGCTTATTTATATTCACCTCCAGCGAGAAACACGGCGAGATACATACACACCGTCAAGACATCACAAACTTATCGCAGACGCATTCGGTATTCTCGAGAATATAGAGACATGTGAACGGACCCTTCCTCTATTTAT